CGGTGCTTGATCTTGAAATCGTATTCCTGCAGCTTCATCACCCACCGTGCGTTCCTGCCTGTCAGTCCCGGCGTAGTCATCAGCCATGTCAGTGGCTGGTGATCCGTCACCAAGGTGAACTCCCGTCTCTGCAGGTACACTATGAAATGCCCCACCGCCCATACTGCTGCTAGTCCCTCAGCCGAGTTACAACTCCTGCTCGCGTAGGCCACCACCTTCTCCTCCCCTTGCACTTCCTGGCAGAGTATCCCTCCCGTTCCTTGGCTGCTCCAGTCGGTGTAGAGGGTGAATGGCTGGTCTGCTACCGGCAGCCGTAACACGGTCGCTGTCTTCACCGCTGTCATAAGGTCCTGCATGGCTCCCTTCTGAGCCTCTCCCCATTCCCACGCCCTGTCCTCCCTCAGCAGCCCATTTAATGCCGTTGCTCGTTTGCTGAAGTTGGGCACGAACCTCAGCCCCGAATTGTCCTTTGGCTCCCGCATCCTGTCCAATACCTCTACCTTAGCCTGCTGGATCCCAATCTGTCCTCCCCTCACCTCGTATCCCAGGTACTGCACTGTCTCCTCACCCCACCTGCACTTCTTGGGGTGACATGTGAGTCCCGCCGCTTCTATTGCCGCCAGTGTCCTCTCCACATCCTGCAAGTGCTGCTGCTCGGTGGCACTGAAGATCACTACGTCGTCTATATAGCATGCCGCACATTCCACATCCCTCAGCACTGCATCCATAACTCGCTGAAACACTGCCGATGCGTTCCTCAGCCCGAATGGCATGTACAGCCACTCATACAGCCCATCCGGCCCATGGAAGGCCGTCTTCTTGATGTCCTCCTCCCTGATCTTGATTTGGTTGAACCCCTGCCGCAGGTCCAACGTGGTGAAGAAGACCCCCTCCGCTAACTTGTCAAATATCTCTTCTGCCATGGGCATGGGGTACCTGTCAGCTACTGTGATCTTGTTGAGCGCCCGGTAATCCCCGCACATCCTCATGCTCAGGACCTTCCCCGTTAGGTCCTTCCTTGCAGCTACTACTGTGGGCGTGGCATATTCCGATTCCGACCGCCTAATCAACCCGGCCTCAAGCAGCTCCTTGATTTTCTCCTTGCAGACTTCCTCATCCCCGTGCAGCATCTTCCTCCTCCGGTGGAACACAGGCTCCGCACTGCTCAGCTTCAACTCCATCTCCTTCACCTTGCACCTTCCCAGCTCCTGCAGGTTGAAGGCGAAGCACTGTCGGTATTTAGTCAGCAGCTGTAGCATAGCTTCCTTCCCTTCCTCACTCATCGCCTCCCCTACCTTCCACGTCTCTTCCTCCTTCTCCTAGCATGCCCACGCTCCCTGAGGGCGTGGCTCCATGTCCCCTTCTCTTTCCTCCTGCCCCCAGCTCACCACTGTCTCTCTCCATATCCGCTGGACCAGCCATCTCATCACGTTGCCGTCCATGGCGTTCCCTAGGGCCCTCCTCCTGTCGGCCTCGCTCACCCCAGGAGTCGCCGTTGCATTCTCCCCATATCCCAAGGCTAGCTCCCGCTCCAGCGCGGTCGGCTCCTCCCACCGCTATGAGTCCTGGACCCGGTTCCCCTGCTGCCCACGCATATCCTGCCGCTCCTGCATATGTAACCAGAGTGGGCAGCGCCCGCCGCTCCTGTCCCACCTGATTGCAGGGATAATGTCTGCTGTACCCCTTCTGGCGCACCGGCGCTGGGGTCCGTCCTGGCTCAAGGATATCCTGTACTTTTCTTCCTGGTGCCCTTCTCACCCCCTCTATCTCTTCCTGCAGCTTCGGTGCTGGGACTATGTTCTGCCAATACATTCTCAATCGGTGAGCAAGTGACCCCATTCTGGCCGCATCACTGCTCACCCCTTCTCCCAATTGCTCCTTGATCCTCTCCCGTACCAGCCGTATTGGCTCCCTGCTGTCCCCTTCTAAATCCAGGTTTTCCACCAGGTATGCCACCCTTCCCTGCCTCTCTTGCAGCCGTTCCAGGATGCGGAAGAGGTCCTCCATCAGCTGTGTCCTTGGGTCCCCCTTTCCTTTCCCCTTGCCCGCCCATGACACCCCTTGACACTCCCATCCAGCCACCAGCAGATCCACCTGCCCCCAGCTGGCCACCTCCGCCTCGGTCAGCCATGCCACATCATGACTGTCTCTCTTCATGGCTTCACGGATCACCCCCGCGCTCAGGAGCTCTGGGAACTCCGCCTGCAGCTTCCACGCGTGATGCTCAGCCATCTTCCTCACCACTGGCGCCCGTTCCATATACACCCACTTCTGCACTGCAATACCACTCCTCACCACTGCTGCTAATCCCGCCTCGATCCCTCCAAACAGCTCCACCAAGCGGATGAGCTGCTGCCAGTCGCTCTGCCGCCTCGGCTCATCCATCATCCTCATTCTGGGCACTTCCATGGTCCCGCCCACTCCCTTGCGCTACCCCGCCTCTGCTGTCTCCGCTTCCTATCCCGCCATGGCCTGATACGCTCTCTTGGGCTCCACCTTCACGAATCGTACTGGCAGCTCCCCTAGTGGCCCCTCCTCCTTCCAGTACCGTGTTCGGAACGCCACCATCTCAGTCCACGTGCAGATGGTCATGCCCATCGCAAACACCAGCTCTGTGCCCACTAACACGTCAAAATCCTCGGACTCAGAGATGCCACACTTCATTCTGATCTTGGTTTCATGCTCCCCTCCTGGCAGTAGAGTCACCTCTATGGGTGCCCGAGAGCAGGGCATCCACTTCGGCTCCCCCCCTTCTTCTGTCATCACCAACATCCCCCTTTTCACATGCCTTTCTGGAGCCAAGAGCCCCAGCCTCTCGGCCATCCCTTTGCCCAGCATCATGCTCTGTGCCCCCGTGTCTATGATGGCAATCTTTACCTTCTCTCCTTCCACTTCCATAGCCCCCTCTTCTAGCAGCGACACTGAGGTCTGACACGCCAGCCTCTCTTGTGGATGGCGTGCCGGCGGCGGAACCAACCCTGGACCCTCTGGTTTCTGCCCCTTCTCCCGGACCTTCTTGCTCTGCTCCTGCCTACCGTCCTTCCCCCCGCTCCTCAGCCCCATCTCCTCTCTTCCCCTCCATGCCATGAGTGCGCACTGCACGTCCTGCTCCACCTCCTCTCCCTCCTCGTCTCTAGCATACATCCCTGCCTCTGCCCCCCATCTCGGTCCCGTTGCCTGTAGCTGCGCCTGCAGCCTGCTGATCTGTCGCTGCAACTCTTCCGGGCTCCTCCTGGCTCCTCCTTCCCTCTGATAGCAGTCCTTGGCCTCGTGCCCCTTCTTCTTGCACACCTCACACCTGGCGGCATCAGGACGCTCTCGCTTGCGGTGGCCCGGCTTCCCGCACCCATCACAGTTCTTGCAATCTCTGCGGAGGTGCCCTGGCTGTCCACAGCGGTGGCAGCTCCTGGTTTCTGCCCGTGCCTCTCCTCGCTCCTCTGCCTTCTCTCGTTCCTCTGGTATCATGGCTGCCGCCTAGGTCGGCCCGCGGGCTCTCTCCAGCTGTCTTGGTAGGTATGCCTCATACTTCCTCTGTGCGAGCTCCACTCTTTCGGCTAGCTCGAACACCTCATCTAGTCTTGCCTCCGCGCCCAGCTCATATACCTTCATCCGCAGCCCGCCTCCCAGTGCCTCGTCCAGGCCCCCCAGGAACTCACTGATCAGGAGGCTACTATTCGTTCACCTCACATCCTCAGCTACGTTGATCAGCCGATTGTAGTACGCCAGTAGTGACTCTGTCCCTCCTCGCTTGAATTCCTGAAACTCCCTTATCCTTTCCGCCGTGTGCCCTGGGAACTGCCACTGCAACCGCTCCAAGAACGTTTCGGTGGGGTCTTCCCCGTACCTCCCCGCCCTCCACAGCAGCTCCTCCATCCTCATACGGTACAGAGTCTCGGCTTCCCCATCCAAGGTGTTTGGCAGGCTCAAGAAGAAGTCTATGGGGTCCATGCCATTCCGGTCACACCGATACTTCACATTCCCCACTTGCATCAGGTAGTTCTTGAGAGACGGCCCCCCCTGCTGATCGCCTGAGAACCTGGCCGGCACCTCTACCCTTGTCGCCGTGGCCGCGCCCCCTCTTCCCTCTCCCCACGACTCACTCACCCCTCCCCGCGGTCTCCCATACCCCCCTTTTTGCCCAGCTCGTTCCAGGCCCTCTCTGGCCATTCGTACACACTCAGCCCCTTGCGCCAAGCTGCCAGTCCTAGCCCTGCTCTCCACCTGCTCTCCGCGCGTCTCTCCCGAGTGTCCCCACTGACTCTCCTCCCTTCCCGCCCGCTCCCCTCGCCGTGCCGGCAAGTAGTGACTCTGCTCCCATTCCCTCGGGCCGGCTCCACGCGGCTGACGTCTCGCTGGGGGTGGCGACCACTCCTCTCTTCCCTTGCCCTGCTGCCGTGTGCCAGGCTGCAGTGAGGTACTCTCTAGTGAGTATAGCTTTGGTAGGTTTCCTATTTGTATCCTTCCCAACCCTAATTCACACATTCCGTTGCATTCTAACTTTGAGTCCTATCCATTACTAGTCCAACATTCCGCTAACTAACTCTGAGAGCATCAACCCTAAACACCGCGCGGCTTGTCATTTGATAGGGGTTTATATTATTTTCAGGCGACGCCGTTAACCTTAATTGTATAACACGGTTACACGGACGTCAACCTTATGGAACATGAACATTCCGGCAATAAAAAATTGAGTTGCTTACGTTTTCCAAAGAATTTTGTTGCGCGAACGAAAACGCGAGCCGTTCAGAACCAGTAAAAAATGAACTATAGGCTATTAAACATTGATATTAATATATCGAGAAAACAGTCACAAAGTGCCGTTCTTTGCGCGAAACATCCTACAGCGCGTAGTTTTCCATCCACCACGACCTCCTCTTGTTGACAACCACCATTCCCATCCCAGGCTCTGGCGGAGGCAGGTGTCGAGTCGCCAGACAGGACTAGAAATAAGTGTTGGGCAGCGATAAGTTGGGCGGGCAGCGTGTGAGTCGCGAATCGCGATGTCAGAGGCGGCGCAGGCCGCTGCTTCCGATCCGCCCACCTCCATCGCCTCTCCCACCTCGCTTCCGTGAGTTCTCTTCTGAGACGAAGACCAGTGACTGACCGTTGTCTGACGATTGACGGACGTTGACTGACGCTTGACCGACGGTTGACTGACGGTTGATTAGCGGTTGATAGAGGCTGTAGTGACGGTTTGATTCGCGATCCACTGCGAACGGCAGAACGTATGATCACAGCACGATCGGGCTCTACGATGTATCATCCGACGACTAGTTCCTAGTCAACCCAAGGAAGAGCCCGTTTGCTCGGGCCTTACCCATTTGACAGTGTCGCCGCCCCGTCACCCCTTCACCCCGCCGTGCCGCGATCTGTTGTCTCCGCATCCTCCGATCCCCCCATTTCCCGATTCCCCCCATCTCCCCATACCGCCATCTCCCCATCTCCCCATCTCCCCATCCCCCCATCCCCCCATCCCCCGATTCCCCCATCCGCCATCCTTCATTGCGTGCGCCATCAGGTCGGAGGCGATTCGCCCCGCCATCTCCCGATCCCTCGTCCCCGCAACCTCCCATCAACCCATCCCCGGATCCCCCAACCCTCCCCGCCAACCCCTCATCGCGTGCGCCATCAGGTCGGAGGCGATCCGCCCCGCGCGGCGATTCTCCAAGGCGCCCGACTTCTGGCTGCTCTCGCCGCTCCTCTACGCGCCGCTGCTACCCCTCAGTACCGATCTCCATCCCTCAGTGCCTCCCACTCGGATCTATTCCCGTCCTTCCCTCCCACTCCTGCTCGACGCACCATTGCTGATGCTGCTTAGTGTCGGTCAATCAGCCCCATCTCCCCCCCCCAAAACCCCTCCCCGCCTCCCACCTCTACCTACCATTCGCTCTTCTGTATAACTGCTTCGCCATAGCCCCTTCCATCATGCTGCTTGCTCTCTTGCATCCTTTGACACCTCCTATCGTCCGCCTAGGGCTCCTTGCTCCCCATTGGTTGGCTCCTGACCATCTCCCCTCCCATGTCTGCAATCCCTCCTCCCTCACTCTCACCGTATCCCCATCCCTCTGCACTCACATTTCAACCCTCGCCTCCCTGCCCGCCCTGCCCGCCCTTCCAGTCCGCATATCACTGCGCCACAAGCCCCAGCTGAGGGATCGCCTTTTTGCTGCTGCCGTTGGGGGGGCGTTCATCCACGGCGCGAGCTTGAGGTGGGTGCATGGGTGAGGTGGGTGCATGGGTGAGGTGAGTGCATGGGTGAGGTGAGTGCATGGGTGAGGTGAGTGCATGGGTGAGGTGAGTGCATGGGTGAGGTGAGTGCATGAGTGAGGTGAGTGCATGGGTGAGGTGAGTGCATGGGTGAGGTGAGTGCATGGGTGAGGTGAGTGCATGGGTGAGGTGAGTGCATGGGTGAGGTGAGTGCATGGGTGAGGTGAGTGCATGGGTGAGGTGAGTGCATGGTGAGTGCTTTTGGCAAGAGGTAGAGTGCTTGTCGTGACTGTGGTTGGTGTTACGAAGAGGCAGTTGCTTCGAGAGACCCCACAACCCACAACCCACAACCCCTACTCTCTCTCACTCTTCACGTCCCAGCACCTCCCTCTCACCCTGTCTTGGCACTCTCCATATTCATCTGTCTTAGCCCTGTCTTGGCACTCTCCATATTCATCTGTCTTAGCCCTGTCTTCCTCTATATCACCTCTGCTGCCCGTGCACCTTCCATGCGCCTCTCACCTGCCCATCCGTCCCCTCCTCGTCCCACCCCCCACACCCCATTCTTTGCAGCCATCGCTTCTACAACGCGGAGAGCTACACTCAAACGCACAACAGATAGCCACTCCACTCCTGCACCCGCCTCCAGCTCTGCAATCTGCCTCCACCAAGGCTGCTCTGCAGGCTCACTGCCCAAATTGACCTCTCATGACATGACTCACACCCTCCCCTCGCAATTCCATTGTGCCTAGTGTGCTTTCCTGGAGCGAAGCGACCAACCCTACGCTGCTGTTGCAGTGATGAATTTCACGACTAAGAACCAACAATAAGCCTTGTTGGCAGCACTCACTGCGAGGGCCTGTATTTCACTGTGTTGTACTGTAGGTACGGTATATTCTATTCAAATTGTAGTCAGCAATATTGGTGGCGCTCTAGTGGCCTAGCAAAGGAGATGGTGCAAATTATGCGAAAAGGTTTCGGGTTGATGAGCTGAGAGGCAGCAGAGACTCAAGAGAGTCAGGTGTGCATGTCACTTGTTTGCAAGAACCAGTTGGACAGGCAGGCTTGGATTGCATGTGATGTGCCTTGCTCGTGAAGCAAGTACAGTAACATGCGTCCACAGCAGCAACATGGAAGAGCACTGCTGCATGATGCATGAACTAGTACCGTACAATGAATGTGAGCTCCAAGCCGTAATTCGAAACTGCAGCATGGGCAAACGACTCAGAAGGCCATCCTGATTCAAGCATTTTGCCCAGAGAGGGCTTGGATGCTTCAGTGCGCAACAGCTATTTATTCTGGTCACTGTGGCGAGGCTGACAAGATGGGGATGCTGATCTCAACACAAGAAGATGATGGGTGGCGATGCGATGTGATGCGATGCGGGGAGGGACTACCAACAGGGCTGGCAGGCAGACAGTCTCTTGAATCTGTTCCCTTGCTGGTGATGAGGCGAGGCGAGATCGGATAACTCCAGTGCTGACATCAGTCTGCGCATGCGGGAATGCACGACACACACGAGGGCACAAAGCACAGCACGTGTGTAAATGATTGCAACAGCACAGGGACGCATGCGTGCAAAACGCTCCCACTTGCCCTTGTTTGTTTGTGTGTGTGTGTGTGTGTGTGTGTGTGTATGTGTGTGTGTGTGTGTGTGTGTTTTCTGTGTGTGCACGCGCGCGCGCGCGTGTGTGCGTGTGTGTGTGTGTGTGTGTGTGTGTGTGTGTGTGGATGGATGGATGGATGGATGGATGGATGGATGGATGGATGGATGGATGGATGGATGGATGGATGGATGGATGGATGGATGGAAGGAAGGATGGATGGATGGGAGGGGGAAGGGGAGCAGGAGTAGCAACAGGCAGGGCAGCATGCTGAGACACAAGGGAACATGGAGGCTAGTGGCGGGCGGGCAGAGACTACAGATAGGCCCAGAGTACATGGAGAACAGCTCAACCCACCCGCGAGGTCGCCCCCCTTGGAGCGGAACTTCTCCCGCAGCTCAGCGAACCGTTTGAAGCACCGCTGCTTGGTCTGCCCGGGCACGGCGCTGGCCACGCGCTCCCATCGCAGGGGCGTGTCCTTGGGGAACTCCTTCAGCGCCTGTACCAGCGCACGGTCCTGCGCCTCCGTCCACGTGGTTACCGCATTACCACCGCCCTTGCCGTCTGCCTCTGCTGTGCCCCCCGGGGCGATCCCCTCCTCCTCCCATCTGCTGGTCGGCGCGGGTTCGGCGGCTCCCCCTGCTCCTCCCGCTCCCCCTGCGCCAGCGCTGCTGCCCTTGTGCTGTTTCCGCTGCGACAGGAACGCGGCGTACGCGTCGCGATCCGACGGCTTCTGCAGCGCGACGGCCTTGGCGGATCGGATCACGTCGTCCACGGCGCGCCGCCCGGACCCCACGCCTTTCGCTACCTTCTCCCACCGCTGGGTCGTCCCGCGAGGAAGCTTCACGAGAAGCTTCTTCAGCTGGTCCCACTCCCCGCGCGTCCACTCGCTCGTGTCGACGCCTTCGCTCGCGGAGCTGGCGGCGCTGCCGCCGTTGGCGGCGCCGCCGTCTGCGGCGCGTTGGACGGGGAGATCCGCCAGCTCAGCTTCCTGCGGCTCGCGCGCGACCGTGTTCTTGTAACGAGAGGCTGGGGATGGCTCGTCAGCTGGTTGCTCCTCCGCGTGCTGGTGTTCTTCTAACGGGGGGCCGACACCAACTCGACAGTCTCCGCCTGTCTGCGTGATAGGAGCGAGTGGGCCTATAACGAGGGCGAGCGCGATCCAGATGAGGGCGAATTGGAGGAATCCTGACGTCATGATTCCCGCCGCGAGAAATACGGCGGCGAATCCGCAGAGGATGAGGAGAACGGGGCGAGAGACCGAGGCGTCCGGATCGAGCTGGTCCTCCGGCGAAACGAACGGCTCAGATGCGAGGCGCATGCGCGGCTTGACGTAATAATCTCCATCATCGAAATCGTCATCCATGGCCGCTGCGTCCCGATGCTGGCGCGCCGCGCCTTATTACAATTAGGCGAAGATTAGGCGACTCTGTTGCAAAACTGTCTCTTTGGCGGCCAAAGAGGAACAACCTCCCGCTGCTGGAGGCACAAGGTGCGCGAGCCTGCAGAAGTGACTCGATTAGAGATCGTGGATCGCGAGAGATTCAAAATTGGTGCTGCTACTGATGGATCTGTCCATTTCATTTCAAAATGGATTTGTCTCTATGCGGAGCGAACACACTACATACCGTACTGGGTTTTTCCTGGTTTGGGTTTTGGCGAGTGATTCCGATTTCGGGCATTTCGTTTTTTTCGCCAAACCCAGCCAGCCCACGTATTTCGCCCTGGGGGTTGTGTCAGCACCCGAAAGTCCCAAATTGCAGGTGCGCTACTTTTCAAAGCTTGCACACTGCACTTCGTCAAGTTTTAAAAGCATGACCCACGCGCCTCGCAATTTGGGACTCGGGCTTTAACTGGCTTTGGATTAGCTATTCGCGTTATAAGCCTATTCATGGACACCAACAAGGTTTCCCGCGCTGAGCTGCCCAACAACCGTGTGGTGAGCCGCACCGTCACTACCCTAGTTGGATCGCACCACCTCAACTGACCATGCTTCCACGTCGGAATTGCTTTCAAGAAAGCGCAAGGCAATTCCAATTTAGCAGGTTTCTCAACCATTTCGCCAAGCCCTGCTTACCAGGGAGGCTGCCGGGTGTGCTCGGCCGAGGCAATTTTCCTGACTCCAGAGCGCCACAATGAGGGGCGGCAGTCGAGCGAATTCGGGCGATTCGGCGGGAAATAAATGGCAG